GCAGGGTCCCAGTTACAGCCAACAATAGCGAAAATAGCAAAAACTATAGCAAAAAATTAGCAAAAACTTATACTGTGTGCATAAAATATGATCATTACAAACACGACCTCGGTACAATCCAGTACCATTTTTTATTGTTCATTTTATCTTTACATATATAAATATATACAGGTATATATAGTCACAGTTATATATTTTTCCAGGATGGTTAAAGAGGTCTGAGCTAAAGACTTATCAGAAATTTCCACAAACCCAATATAAGTGAAGTAAACATAAACGGTCATCCACCATTTTAGTCTACGTAAATCAAAACATGTGTGTGCTTTTGTAAAATGCTGCAGTTACTGGCAGTGATGATTTGGACCACACATGACATCCAGGTTCAAGGCTGGGATGCTGTCAGGAACGCGAGTGCATTTCTGCATGCACAACAGTTATCCATCATTCATCCTATTTGCCTCACAGAAAAGTCCTCCTCTGCTCTAATGTGATAAACTCAAAGGGCGCTGAAGTGATGGGCCAAATGTTCCATGAGAAACCTCAACGTACCGGTTGCCTGAAAGCTTTCTCGGTCAACAAATGAATCCAAGAACGGAGGAGGTGACCCTGCCAAAGACACCCTCCACTGACCTCATGTTAATATCTGTCAAATGATGACAAATGATGAATGCAAAAAGCCTAGCATCTCTTCTTTGAATCCTAGCACCTCATATGAATTTCAATGATTCCTTTGTAAACTTTTTAGATATGCATCACTTCTCTCAGAGTGCATGGTGGGTCATAAATCAGCAGCCCACACTCGTGATTCAGAGCTAGTGCTGACTTCAGCGCTGTCACACTCAGTGGCAGCGGGATGGAGGTTATCGACCCGGCCCGTGCTGCTGAAAACAATACAAGTGCCTGGTTAACACTCGTAGTGGAACATGTGTGCAACACATGTTCTTCTTGCAAACAAGAAGTGAGTTATACTCACTCGATTGTCAATATCACAGACAGAACTTAGGGAAGTCAATCATTTTTTGACCCTTCAAGACATTCCTTTCTGTCTACTAATCTTTAGTTTAGCCTTTTTCCACACAGTCAGTTGTCCTCGGTAATTACATTGAAAATGTAACAAAAGGTAAATGTTTTGTGATTAATAAGGCTACAGTAAATTTGGATTTTAAATTAAAGCGCTCCTGAAATCCAGTCCAATTCAATTTTATTTATAAAGCACTTTAAAAACCCATACAGGACCAAAGTGCTGTACAGACAAGTTACAAAGCATACACACAACACACACACAAATTAAAAATACATAAACAGCTATGCAATTTCAAAAAACTAACAAACAAACAAAAAATAAAAATAAAAAATAAATAAGAAAGACCAGTTAAAAATGAAGTCCAACCTCAACTTTTGCCCCCCATTCAGCTTATTGAAGCTAATTGTGCTTCAAGTTGTACTAAAACTAAACATGATGCTAGCACGAATGCCACCAGCTGCCTCGGCTCAGGTTAAAAAGGATGTGATTCTTGGGTAGAATGGAGGAAAAGAAGTTCAGTATTGGACTCAGAGTTATCAAATATCTTCCAGATCTTCTCTTAAAGCTCAGCCTCCTCTTTAATAAGACCACGTGATGATTTAGTCTCAAATGAAAATGCATTGAATGTGTATGTTTTAATATCTTAGTGTGAACGCTCATCAAGCATTCAGATGATTGAAATCTGTTTTACATTAGTATGTTTCTGGGTATCTCTCGTTCTCCAATATTCAAATATATAACCATTTGTATAGCAAAGCATTCAGCTCATTCAGGACTTTTCTGCTGTGACTTTTGGCATTTGTGTTTTTTTTTTTTGTTTTTTTTTTTAAATATTTAGCTTTTTTTTTTACCACATTTTTTGAATTGAAAAAGAATGGAGTTTTTCACATCCTTCAAACCCTGTTTGCAAATTTTACAGCTCATTTTACCTTTTGTTCTGATGCTGCTTGTTTCTACTATTTTCAACTTCTCTCAGTTCATTTTAGCTAGTTTCTGCTCATTTCAGCCTTTTTCTTTTTATAGCATTTTTTCTGCTCCTTTCAGTTCTTTTTAATGTCAGTGCTTTCCTGCTTTCTCAGCTATTTCAGATATTTTCCTGATATTTTCAGCTTTTTTGCTACTTTTCAATTCATTTCAGCTTTTATCTGCTCATTTCACTGTCTTTCTGCCCGTTACAGTTGTTGTGGTCTTTCAGACTCTTCTGATTTCGGTTTTTGTGCTTTTGAAGCTACTTTCAGCTGATTTTATGCTATTTTTAGCTGTTTGTGCTCTGTGGAACTTCTTTCTTCTCATTTCAGCATTTTTGTTTTCCTTTCAGCTTTTTGTGCTAATTTCAGCTTGCTTGTCTATCTATCTATCTATCTATCTATCTATCTATCTATCTATCTATCT